GTTATGAGTTAGAAGCTAATCTACTCCAAAGTTAATTATATTATTGTTCATGTAGCAAGGATCCAGAGCAACCAATAATTGAGCGTACCTGTACATGCTGATTGGTTTCCCTTTTCAGAAATGTTCAGTCTATGTAAGGGAAAATGTTAGCCTTTGCAGAATTGACGTGAGGCTGAAGTGGGCACGTATAGGCAAGGGACAGTTGGCAAGAAAGAACGGGTGGGGAGAGAGCCCTATATGTAAATAGCATGTTCAATAAAATCTAAAAATATTCCCTTATTATAACATCACAGGCAGTTTAAGCAAGAGATATGAGAGCCCATGTATATTTTTTACAAACATTTATTGGAATGTAAAGTATGTTGACATTGCTAAATTCGTGTCTGATAGAGCCAACTTTGTGAATGAATTTAGAGTGAGTAATAGAGGCTTGCTGCACAGCTTAAATGTGGAGATGGCTGAAAACCACTTTAAATTTCAGTCATTCACACATTCAGTGATCTGATGGATGTCAAGGTTAATTTGCAGTAAATCCATTAGTAGACATGGTACTGATGTGGTAGTGTTTGCCATGTAGAAACATGCATAAATAATAAAGGTGACACATTCCTCTAAGTTCCTCTCTATATTGGAACTGTGATTAAGATGTAACTACCACTGCATATTTAACTCACTCATATAGTAAAATAAAACATGTTTCTTTAAAGATAAAATTTTTAAAAAGCTAGCTAGCAGGTTTTTTTCTTTTTTTTTTTTTTTTTTTTTTTGTAAGTTTGGTCTTTATGTAATGGTCAGGTGATTTTTTTTTTGCGTTATGCTATAAATCTTACTATGCTGGATGTTTTATGGTGATGAACTAATATTCTTTTTCTCATGAAAGCTCCCATGTGATACAATTTAATATCCCTTCCATTGTCAACTATTACTGAACATAAATAATAATATAATGAGTTTACATAAAAGTTCTAATCCATGCTATGAAATATTGAAAAGTTTAATAAAAGTTACAAGGTAGAAATGTCATTTTTGAAAGTCATTTGATTTGGACACAACTTTGAAATATGTCCAACTTTTTTAAAGGCTTTCATATTAAAATAAAACAATGTTACAGTGTTCATTATTTTATATTTTTACAACACACACACACAACTGCCCTCATGCATGACACCCATTCTCTCTAAAATTTATTAGGCATTTATCATATACCAGGAAATGGACTAAATGTTACTTTGTAATATCTCATTTAATTCTGATAGAGCTCTATAAGATAGTATTGCTATCCCCATCTTTTTCCAAATCGGAATCCCATTAAAGAATAAACAGCTACCAAGTTTACGTAGCTAGCAAATGACACAGTTCGAATTTGAACCCAGATCTCTCCGAGTCTAGAGTTTACATTCTAATCTCTAAGCTATTCTGCTTCAGTAAGTACAATGTGTCCTTGGTTCGGAAAGATGTGTGTTAAAGGAGGTAAATTTTGAAACTTTAAACAATCTAACTTACTATATTTGATTGTGAGAGTAATTTTCTAGCTCAATGAAAAGAGGGCTTTAAGAATATAGGAGATTTTGTAAAGTTTGATGCAAAGTTAATTTAAAAAAAAAAAAAAAGCCAGAGTGCTTATAAAAGTATATAGAAGAGAGCTGAGGAAGGACTGGATATCTAATTTTCTTGCTTATAAAATTGTGCTGATTAGTGCAATACAATGCACTACCATGTATACAGAAGAAAAATTAAGAAAGACTGCTTTCTGGATATATCTGGTGGGAAAAAAAGGAAACTAGATATAATGACAATGTTTGACACACAGTAGTTGTAATTTTTTTTTTTGCTTTGTTTTGGTGAAACCTAAAAAACTGTAAAGTCATTCTAAACAGGACAGGTTAGCTAATCTCTTTGTAGTCATCAAGTTTTACATTCACTGAAAAAGGTTAAAATCTGAGATGAAATCAAATCTTGAGTAATGGTATTTATATTGTGACACTTATCTTACTGAGAATATAAACCTTCAAATTACTACCCACAAGTTCTGTAACTGAGCTGGAAACTTTTGTAGTTTCATAGGTTTGGGAAGTGCACCCCAACTAAATGTTAATCTACATATATTAAATGTTCTGTCATTTTACATTTACATGTTATTTTTCTCTTTTTAAAAGTATCATGAGGTGAAAAGAAAGTATATGATAATGAAGAGCAAATGTCACTTTATGGATATAAGACATTAGAATATGAAAACAGTTGGCCTTGATAAATTCAGACTGACATCCAATTAACTTTTTCTTGACTGCCTGGTTATGATAACAGAAATATTTCTGTCATAAATATATATATATATACTGGAATAGGAGTGAGGATATGGGTTTTATACCAACTCTGCCGATTAATCAAGTTTGCAACCTTTGATCGCATGTTAATCCTTATGACTAAATTTCCTCAGATATAGCATGGAAATAATGTCTGCCCTATGTTCCATACATAAGGAGATAAGAATTTTTTAAAATTGTGAATGTTATTTTTAAAGTTAAAAATTACTATGCAATGTTGTTTTATAATGCTTACCTCACACTTATAATTCTGAAACCATCGGAATTCTTAGATTTGTGTTGTTTTATATCGTTAAATAGGATCTCTAGTTTTGAATATTTTTCTTATTTCACATAATATATATAGTCATTAGAGAACAAAGTTAATTTAAAAACAGAAAATAAATTAATTATTGAGTATCAGTACTCAGAGGTAACCACTACATCTTCCTTTTAAAGCTGTCTCCACTTTTATATGTTCTTGTCCTATTTTTATCAACAATAGGCTTCACTAGAAAAGTTAATACTTAATCATTTGCAAAAGTTACCAGGCAGAAAAATATTTCTCAAATAGTACTTGCCTATAAAGATGATGATGAACAAGCTTCTGTTGCTGTAGAACATAAGTGGCTCAGGCAAGCCCAAACATTTCTGATATATATTCTGAATTTTCTTTGTGCACTGACTGGTGCCTTTTAAATATGGTTTACCTTTTCTCACTTGAAAGAGATAAACTATTTTCATGCATTGGTATCCACAAAAATTAATAGAGAAGGGCACAGCTTCTATACCTTTGCATTTTAACAGTATTCTTGTTTATCACTTTTGCATTCAATTTTCTCCTAACATGTTTTCTGGAAGAGGTCTATATACCAAGGCCTATTTAAGCATCAGGTACACTATGCATATTGCAGAGGTCTTTGGAGTTTCTCAAAGGCCTATGGAAATGTCTGTAACTGAAAACAAAGAAGAGTTACCTCCAAAAATGGCCACAAAATCAATATTGTCAGCTGTTTAATTAAATGTACACAAATGTGATAGTAAGTCATCTCCATTTAACTGGTAAACTTGGTAATCGTAGCAATTCAATGTATAGGTATCTTGAAAACATACTGCTGTACACACAACTTTTGCACATAAATGTTACTCTTGGTACCAGATATTTTTCTATAAATACAAGATGTTTAATATTCTCTCTTATTATGTATGATCATGTATATATGATCAAGTCATATATGATCTGCTGTCTGCAAGTTGGAGAACCAGAAAAACTATGGGTGTAGATCATAGGACTGAGAACTGGAGAAACAATGATGTAGATTTCAGTCCAGGTTTGAAGGCATGAGAACAAGAAGCTGCAAAGGCAGGGAAAGAACAATGTCCCATTTTAAGCAGTCAGGAGAAGAAAGAGAGAAAATCCATTCTTTTTTCACCTTTTGGTTCTATCCAGGCCCTCAAAAGAATAGAAACAAAATGGATGGCCATTGAATGATGCATTGAGGTAAGACTTTAGTGCATCAAATGCTCTATTAGTCCGTTTTCACACTGCTATAAAGAACTTCCCTGAGACTGGGTAATTGATAAAGAAAAGAGATTTAATTGACTCATAGTTCTGCAAGGCTGAGGAGGCCTCAGGAAACTTACAATCATGGTAGAAGGGGAAGCAGGCACCTTTGTCACAAGGCAGCAGGAGAGACAGAAGTGTGTGTAGGAGGAAATGTCAAGGAATTATGAAACCATCAGATCTTGTTAGAACTCACTATCATGAGAACAGCATGGGCAAAGCCGCTCCATGATCCCATCACCTTCCACCAGGCCCCGCCCTCAACACATGAGGATCTGAAATTATCTCAATTTCAGACGTGATTTGAATGGGGACACAGAGCCAAACTATATCAAATGCTGAATAAATTGTTTGAAAACAACTCTTTTCAATTAAGCTGGATAATTTACTGACAGGACCACCATAAGGTAAAACTTGAACACTCACAGAATGAGTCCGTGACATGATTCTCAGTGCTATAAGGCTTGTATTCACCTTGGGGTGGCAGAGGATGAGGGTCTTTTTATGATTCTGAATAGTTTGGCAGCTACTAGATGTTGCTTGTTAAGTAAAATTTGACTTTTAGGGATGAGATCTATTAGCTGTATTTTCTTGACATGGCTACTGGGGCTTGTGGCTGTTCATCCATTAGTTATCTGTCACATGTAAGTAGATCCTTTTTCCATAAAAGTTATATTCCTAGCACATTTGTTGTGACTTTCTCCACGGTGCTGTATGACCCTGTCACATCTGCATGCAGCTCCTGTTTCAATACCAAGTTGATATATGTTGCTGTTGCTTTTTGGAAGCATCCAGTCAATGTTTTCTATGAAACTCTTTCTTAAAAACTGGCGGGAAGAAATAAAGCCTCATTCCATTCCATTCTTGTCCAACTCCATGGGAAACACAGTAACCTACTATTTGTTCTGAGACACCTGCTGGTAAATTTAATCAGTGTATTAAAAACTGAGCTACCTCTCTATTTCTTTTAAAACAACTCAGTCCACTTTCCTGAGCACATTTGATTGAAATCTGTAATTTGCTTTGCCATAGTTTTGTGTGTAGAGTTGATACTGTACTATCAATATAACATGCCTTGCTAATGTGCAGACTTGATGTATTTGGACTAATTGGTTTTGGTTTTTGTTTTCCAGCTGGGACAACGTATATCTTTAGCAAAGGTGGTGGACAAATCACGTATAAGTGGCCTCCTAATGACCGACCCAGTACACGAGCAGACAGACTGGCCATAGGGTTTAGCACTGTTCAGAAAGAAGCAGTATTGGTGCGAGTGGACAGTTCTTCAGGCTTGGGTGACTACCTAGAACTGCATATAGTAAGTACTTTTTGGATAAGATTCAGCTTTTACTTTTTACTGTTAACTTTTTGTAAAGAATTTATAATTTTGCCTCTTGGATGCTTCCTTCCCCCAGAAACCAGTACTTTGTTATAGGAAATATGAATACAATCTAGAGGAAATAAGACCACATACCTATTGCTGTTGTTAATCACGTTCTTTGCAATGTAAACTTTTTTTTTGGAGTGTGAATTCCTGTTAATTCTGTGTTCAAAATAATTTTCAAAAAATTTTTGGAGTGATTTTAGTGTCTTTAGGCAGACTTACCAAATGAATAAAATAAGTTATTGCCCAGGAGGAGATACCATACCATCTGGTTGGAAGCAGGAGGTTGTAATACTGGTGACATGCAAAGATCTGGATTCTGTCTTTATTTCTTTGCTCACTAGAGAAAGTACTTATCTGAAGCTACATGAAATAAAAGGAAGGAAAGGATATTTTAAGGTATTTGGGGATGTGAAAGAAGATGGCAAAAAGATTGTTTCTGTGCCATTTTGTACTTATTTTGATACATAAGTGTCAGGAAAATATATTTTGATTCATAATTACCACTTACATCCTGGGCCCATTCTCTTTTCTCTAAGTTGTAAGCTTCCCACAGTAATTTACTCAGCGTATAATAGATGGCAAAGAGTAGTCATGAATGAAAAGCTTCATTTTCCTTTGAAAGTTGCCATAATTAACTTTAGGGTTCAGGGACCTCTCTTCTTTCTCTGCATCTTAAAAATTATTAATGAGTATGGTTGAAACTCTTTAAATCTTCATTTTCTCACATTATTTGTAAAGAAGCACAGTGTCTTTTATTGTTAAGAGGTATTAATATTTTATTGATATATCCAAAAAATCATAGTGTGTCACACATTCAAAAACTTTTCTAAAGGATTCTTATTATCATAGTTCTTGGTCTAAAATGTATCTTTTAGAAGGTTTCAGAAGAAGCATGTAAGTCTCCCCATCCTCTTTTTTATCCTTGAGATTCAGTTTATTTCCCATGCATTAAGCAACCATGGAAGTTTGTTCTATTTTGTTTTGTCTATCCCTATAAGTTCTCTTTCTATCAGTACTCACGCTCCAAAGGACATTTGACTAGGTCATCATGTTCTTTCCTGTTAGAATGTGACCATTGGGTACTAGTTCTAAAATAATTAAGAAAAACATGAAACACCAAAGTACATTAGCACAAACTTTTACAAGTTTTTCATTCTCTATTTTTATTAAACTGTTTTCTTAATCTTAATTTTGTCTTAGAATTCTGGAATTTCCAATAAGCTGTGTAGGAGTTTACACTGACCACAAGGGCTGAATTCATTGGTAATCTTGAAAAACACAACAAAACCCCTCAGCACAGCCATTATTGGACCATAGTAAAATTTCAATTTAAAATGCAGTTGTCAAAAGGGGAACCCTGGAGAGGTAATTTCAGGTGCCTTTTAGCAAATTTGTAACAATCAAAATTAAGAGCATCTGGATTTTTATGGCATCATAAATAAATGATCAGTTAAGATACATTTCACTAGTACAGTAAGGAATCTTACTGCTTAGAGCAATCTCAACTTTCAAAATGTATGTGCTCAGTTCTGATGTAAGAGCTTTGCTACTTCAAAAAATAAATAAATAAAAATGAAAACAAGAGTCTTTTCCTTCTAAAAGAAATTACTTATTGATCCATAACCAATTACACTTTTACTCTGAGAAAAGGTTCTACAATGATCACTCTCAAGTCACAAGGGGCTATGTTATTGAATTACTCAAACCACTGTTGTTTATTTTATGGTCAGAAAGTTTTAGACTACAAAAATAGGTATTTCTTTCTAGTGCTGGTCAAATGTGGTCTCAGGGTCCTATCATAAGTAAATAATTGACTTTCTCAGCATCCATTCTAGCGCAATAACCTCCATATCTCCTTTACCAGCCATGGATTTCTGATAGCTGCACTGTGAAGGCCTTCTTCTTTCTGAATCTCCTCTCTTGGTCTTGCCTGGTCATTCTCTTTGGATTCAGTGCATGTCTCTACACACCCTTTCTCTTGGACTTGGTGTCTTCAAAATCTCCCTTGCTGGTAAACCATGTCCTCCTGGGCTTCCCAAATACTGTTGTGTGTCAGCCCTACCCACTCCTTATCAACTAATGGGACTCAGTCTTATTTCAAATCTGGTCAAGTAAAATTTTGTTTCTCCCATTGCCTAGAAGAGGTGATTAGACATTAGAGACTCAACAAATCTTTTATGTAGAGATAAGTCACTTCTTTCCATGTTGTTGTTGTTGTTGTTGTTGCTGAGATGAAGTTTCGCTCTTGTTGCCCAAGCTGGAGTGCAATGGCACAATCTCAGCTCACTGCAACCTCCGCCTCCCGGGTTCAAGCTATTCTCTTGCCTCAGCCTCCGGAATATCTGAGATTACAGGTGCCCACCACCATGCCCAGCTAATTTTTGTATATGTAGTAGAGACGGGGTTTCACCATGCTGACCAGGCTAGTCTTGAACTTCTGACCTCAGGTGATCCACCTGCCTCTGCCTCCCAAAGTGCTGGGATTACAGAAATGAGCCACCGTGCCTGGCCTTTTTCTATGTTTTAAACATATAATCAAAATTAACACAAGACCAGTGGTTTTCTTTTTACTACCTAAGTTTACCTGCAGCTCTTTCCCAAAATGTTGGGTGCATGGAATAATAAAAGAAAGAGGAATTAGAAATTAAAAGAAAAAAGGAAAGCCAGACAGGAAGGCAAGAAGGAAGGAAGGAAAGAAAGAAGAAAGTACGAAATAAAGGGAGGGAAGAAAGGAACAAAGAAAGTGCAAAGGGACACAAGATAATGCCTGTGGGTGATAGAAACAGAACTGTTCTTAATATGTAGATTTGAGAATATTCAAAGGCTGTTTTATCAAATTATTTAGGTACCTTTGAGTCCATTTTGTTTTTCCCAAATAAATTGTTCTACTTCTTTCATGATTGAAATTTAAAAGGAAAAATAAGATTTATAAATTTTAGATTATTGCTGTATGATTTAGGTTTGTGAATATAACTGACTTAGAAGTAAACCTAATTGGTGCTATACTATCGATGATACATTATTATCTGTAAAAGTTAGACCTAGTCATTATCCCTTAAACTGCAAGGAAAATTTGTGTGTAAGCCTTCAAAGTCAGCGAAGTATAAACTATATACTGATCAGATTAAAAAGTCTTATTTTCATCCTTATTTGATAGAGTGAGCCAATAAATTAGAAAGTTGATTGCATTCATTAAGATGTGCTCCATCATTGCTGAAATATATAATGCTATTTCAATTAGATAATTTTAAAAATCTGATTGGCATATAATTTTAATGAAGATTTGAATATTTGACATGGTTTATCATCCAATTTTTCAGAATAAAAATGTTGGATTTTAAAAAAGTTTGATTAACTGTACTCTTAAAAACATAACAACTTGGAATAAAATGGTTTTTGAATTAGGTGGCCCAGTTTGACAGATGAATTTTTTTGTCATATTAATATTAATGCTACCACTGTTAACCTCAAAGTCATATAATATTACTATGGAAATGTTTAAGGTTTTATGAAGGGGTGAGGGGAAGATAAGACATGAAGTGAAGAGCAATTAATTAGTATAGTACCTAGAATAATAGTGCTCAATAAATATTTTCTGAAAGATTTAATAGCTTTAATGAATTATACATTGAAAATATTGTGGCTTAGGATGAGTGTAGATCTTCAATTATTTAACAGGTCAAGTAAAGTGACAGACATTTTAATTTCTATATAACTCTGAGAAAGTCCTCCAGCTTCCTGATTACAATACAGAAAAATTATAGAACTTGATATAAGCAGCCATATTATTGAGAAGCTTCAAATCTTAAAGGATGTTTTCAGACATCTTCAACTAAGAATTGATTATGGAGATTAGTGGTTTAAAGAAAGTCTATGGTGAAATTTTAGTTGGATGAATGATTATTTTTTGTTAATAGTTGCCTTATTTATTGTAGTTCACTTTTATCATGAATTATTCTCTAGTTATTTTATATTTGTCCATTATTTACAAATAGAAATAAATTTTCTGATGGCAGAGAACATGATTTATAATAATGGTGATGATTAATAAGAAAAATAGCTGGGCATAGTGGCTCACGCCTGTAATCCCAGCACTTTGGGAGACTGAGGCTGGCGGATCACAAGGTCAAGAGGTGGAGACCATCCTGGCCAATATGATGAAACCCCATCTCTATGAAAAATACAAAAATTAGCTGGGCGTGGTGGTGCACGCCTGTATTCCCAGCTACTTGGGAAGCTGGGGCAGGAGAATCGCTTCAACCCGGGAGGTGGAGGTTGCAGTAAGCCAAGATCATGCCACTGCACTCCAGCCTGGCGACAGAGCAATACTCTGTCTCAAAAAAAAAAAAAAAAACAAACAAACAAAAAACAAAAAAAAGAAAAAAAAGAAAAGAAATGAAAAAGAGAAAAGGAAAATAATACAGGAATGTAACTTTTCATCTTTTATTTCAGTACATGCTAGAAGCCTCTCCAGAAATATTTATTTAGCACCTAATATGACCCAGGCCTATGTTAGGCTCTGTGGATGCAAAAATAAATGAGCTGGCTGTTTAGTAACTACCTCAGTAAGTATTTGTTGGATGAATGAATGAACAAGCTAGCTGAGTTCCAGTTAACTTACATGATTTATAGCAAACATTTTGTTGCCAAGTGACTGGTATTTCTTGGTATTTTTCTGTCTTGCTATTTTTTCATCTCTTTTCCTTACAGTTTTAACTTTCTTATTTGTATAGCATTTGTATGGGCAGTTAACAAATAATAGATTATTAAGATAAAGAATATAAAGAAATAACTTGCAAACTGTGAAGTGTTACACAAGACATGTTTAAGTTACTGATGTGTCGAGGATTATTTAACTGATAATGACTTAAATAATTTCTTAGAAGCAATAAGCAAAAATTGAGCTCAAGTTTTTATATTTTATGAGATAT